CCCCATTTTATCCAATCAGCTTTTCATTCTGCAAATGAAGCTTTTTACCAGCATCATGGAAATTCTGTTTTATCTTTGTCAGGTCCTTAGTTAAGTCCTGATAGCAAAAAGGAATTTTCATTGAATAAACATGAAAAAGAGCTCACAAAGCCAAGAAAGGGAGCTGCATGCATGGGGAGAAGTGTCACAGGACACCACAGGAACTATACCATGCTGGACTGACAGCTTGAGCAGCCACAAGGTGAAAGCAGGGACAAGGGAAGAGGAAGGAAAAGGCAAATTTCAGGGTCAATCTTTCAGGCACTGCTGGAAAGCTCAGAGTTAGAGGGAGCAAAAGCAGCAGCACATCACGCAGCTCAGAAATTGCCTTGTACCCTGCAGCCACACAGAGAACATTTGCTCATGGTCAGTATTGAACCTGGACAGGGCTTACCTGGAGCCAACATTGTAGATGTTGTACTGCAAAGTCAAGTCCTTGCCCTCCACTGCGTATCTGTTTAACAAGGATTTGGAGGCCAGGAGCCTGGCGCCATCCTCACAGTGAGCCACAGACACCAGGGCAAACACGGCAAGAAGTGGGACCTTCATCTAGAAACACAAGGAAATGGAATGTCACTGATCACTTGACATCTCTGAACACTTGCCTGTGAGCATGTAAGAACTGGCACAGGAGTGTCCCAGATCTGCAGCCATGGAAGAAAAGTTGATGGTATTCTCCCCCTTCAAAGCCCTGGCCAGTATCACTCACTCTCCTTTACAGAATCGTGGAACATCCCAAGTTGAAAGGAACCTGCAAGGATCATTGAGTCCAACGCCTGGGCCTGCACATCTCAGTAATGGGCAAAGCTTTCAGATCACTAAGCCTCTTCAAATAACTTCCAGAGCAAAAGCTTTGGCAATTAACAATTTCATCAGTTTTAGCAACTAACAGTTAACTGTCCTTGCAAAGCCTGGCAACTTTCCAACACTGTCTTACACAACAGAGTTAGATCTTCTCAGAAAGCACTTCCAACATTTATTCTTTCCTATTTCCAGCCACCAAGAAACCACCAACTCCCTCCAGTGGCTTTTATGATCCCCTGCATGAGTCCCTGCTTCAGGCTGCATGTCTTGACTTGTCCAAACACAGCACCTCTAAAGCCACTCTGTTGAGAGGACAAGGAGACAACAGGAACGCTACAGATGTGAGGACACTTGATGGGGCTTTTAAATGCAAAAACTGCTTCAGTAACATGGCCTCTGCCCTCCACAGTCACAGGGTGGTAGGGGTTGGACAGGACTGTAAAGACTATCCAATTGCACCCTCCTTGTCATGGGCAAGGATGCCTTCCAGTAGACCAGGTTGCTCCAAGCCCCGTCCTTCAACACTTCTAGGGACGGGGCAGCCACAGCTTCGCTGGATAACCTGTGCTAGTGACTCACCTCCCTCACAGGGACCAATTCCTTCCCAATATGCCCTCTGGCAGTGGGAGGCGTTGTTCTATCACTCCTGGCCCTTGTCCAAAGTCCCTCTCCAGCTCTCCTGGAACCTCTTTAGGCCCCTGAAGGGGCTCTGGGTCTCTCTTCTCCAGGCTCAACCCCCCCAGCCCTCCCAGCCTGTCTCCAGAGTAAAGGGGCTGCAGCCCCTGAATTATTTCCATGGCCTCCTCTGGACTCACTCCAGTAGCTCCACATCCCTTCTGTGCTGGGAACCCCAGAGGTGGAGGCAGCTCTGCAAGGGCGTGTCTCCAGAACAGAGCAGAGGGGCAGAATTCCCCTCCCTTCACATGCTGCCCACGCTGTTGGGGATGTGCCCAGGACAATGTGTGGTTTCTGGGCCCTCAGTGTACGTTGTGGCAGCATGGTGAGCTTCTTGTCAACCCATTCCCCCAAATCCTTCTCAGGGCTGCTCTCCATCCATTCTTCCCCTGTCTCTGTTTCGGTGCAGCACCTGCCCTTGGTCTTGCTGAACCTCGTGGGCTTGGCATGGACCCGCCTGCCCAGCCCGTCCAAGTGCAGGTACCAGAAGCCCCTTCCTTCCCCCCAGTCCTGCCCTGCTGCAGCCGCACACCAGCGCATGCAGCCCAGGCTGCTCCTGCCCCCCCAAAAGAAGCCCAGGGGCCCAGAGTGGCTCAGGGACACTTCTCAACAGGAAACCACCCGGTTTCACCCACCGCTGGCCGCGGAGGATGCCGACTCTGACGCTCCAGCGCCAGAAATCGGCCGGTCCTTCCTGGCCGCCCTGAGCCGACGACCGATCCTCTCCTACAGACCCTTCCCCAGCGCCCCCCAGTCCGTCCAGAAGCCCGAGGACACAGCCTCGAGCTGCACCGGGCCTCTCGCCCCTCACCGTCTCTCCCGCCGCCAACGCCGCAAAGACGAGTCAGCGCAGGCGCGGCGGAAATGGCGCACGTGAACCGCGCCTCAGGGAGGCCTTACGCTCGCTGGGAAATGGAGTGTAAGCCCGTGCGCACGCAGGGACTCCGCACCTGCGCGGGGCACGCTTCCTGCGCTGCCCCATCGCCCGCTGCTGGCGGACTGCGGGGGAGCGGGTGGAAGTGGTGGCGGGGTGGCGCGTCCTGCTGGGCCGGGGCTGTAATAGGGCTCTGGAGAAGAGCAGGACGTGTGTCTCGGCACGACAAGCTGCTCTGCTCAAGTACACCCAACCACATCCCCCTCTCCTAGACCGCCTCCAGCTTTGTGCTGACAGTGCGTCAGGAAATGGTCCTGACCTCCCTGGTGCAATGTCAGTAACAAAACAAACCTGCTGGCATTTCCTGTACTGCCGGAAGCCTTGAGAGCTTCCCTGTGCCCTTGTTCCTCAGGCAGCTGCCTCTGGTGGGGAAAGGGCCACGGGACCCTCTCCTGTACACATTTTGCCACTTACACATACACAGATGAACAGCCCATATGCACCAATCCTGGGCCCTCCCACTGGGTGCCTGTGCTGCCTCAAGGCCTTTCATTAGGGATCCCCACTGCCAGCCTATGCCAACACTTCTTCCTACAGCCACTTTCTTCTTTCCCTGCTGCCTCAGGCAGAAGTTCTCCAAGCTGCAGACAAAAGCAAGACAGAGGTCCAATCCCTTTTGGCCATTGGCCACTTAACTATTCTCTCTCCCACCCCATCCCACCTCTCTGCATGGTTTGCTGCAGCCAGGACAGACTGAAACACTGATACAACACCCGTCCTGGCTCTTAGAACCTCAGCTCTTTTTCTGTGAAGCAAGAGCACTTTCAGGAAATGTTTCATTCCTCCCCAGTAAGCACTTGTCTTGCTGCTACTGGTCAGTATGTGATGGTTTTCAGGCCAGAACAGGAGATCACACAGCTCCATTGCCACCCACATAACTGTATTCTGGAAGACCCTGACTTGGGTTAAGGAGGGATGAAGCCACACCCTGAATCTCAGACTGGCAAAACACCAAGCTGTGCTAATGGACCAGGGAGAGAAGTAATCATGTGTCTGATATCAGCTTTAAATGAAGCCATTTTGCTCTCTACTTTCTATTGAAAAGCAAGGACCTTTTCAATATGACTGGCTGCACACCTTGTAGCAGTCAAGATGCCAAGACTTAAGAACCTTTAGAGGAACCAGGCAAAAACTTTATGTTGATGGCAGCAGATTTGTGAATACAGGTAAATTACCTCTGGTGGGATGGAAGAGATCAGTGGTATCCCTGAGGGTCTGTGTCAAGGACCCCCAGGATGGCATTGACCCATAGAGCACCACCCCATGCCCACAAGTCTCCTGCCCTCCACCTGCCTCACTTGCTTCTTGGGCATCCAGCTGCCTGACCTGCAGAGCAGCCAGGTTTCAGCACGTGCATCACGCCTGGCTGCAAAGGTAGGAGCCCACATGGCTTGGGGACCCCTCCCCAGAGGATCCCACGTTTGCCCTGACAGGCCCATTTTCCACAGGGTTGTATTGCAGTGAGTGCTACAGAGCCCTGAACAACACCTGCTCTGTCTGCATGGCCCCCCTGAGCTACCCGGACTCTGGGGATGAGGAGATGTGAGCAGAGGGGTGCTGGGAGCCCAGCCAAGCCTGGGGGGCTGCAGTTCACCCTTGCCCTCTCTGCCCCTGCAGGGACTCCAGTGATGAGGAGACACCAGAGCTGTGGCTGGGTGCTGTGCGGGCGCTGCGGGGCCAGGAGCGAGGGCGGCAGCTGCTGCAGCGCATCAAGGACATGATAAAGGGCCAGAGACTCCCCTCCAGAATGCCTGCCCAGCTGTGAGTCCAGCTGGAGGGAAGAGGAAAAGAGCAAGGAGAGTGACATGGGCAGCAGTGAGGTGGCCAACAAGAACAGATTGCTCTGCAGGTGGGGGCCGGCTGTAGGGGTAGCAACGTCCCCTGTCCTCCCCAGCACTGGGGATACTGGTTGCAAAGACTGTGCTCCTCTCTCCCAGCAGGACTTCAACTACCAGCAGCAGGCCAATAACAGTAAAAGGGAGGGCAAAGGCCCAGTGACAGCAGGATAGTGCCATGTGGCAGCAAAAACATGGGTCCAGGTGCTGGGATGTGGCTGGAGCCTCACCAGTGTGGCAGAAGTTGAGAGACACTGGGTGGGGAAGGGTTAGTGAATAAATCACCTGGTCCTCAAGGCACCAGTCCTGGTACTCTGAGCCGGCATCCACCATTCCATGCTGATCCTGACCTTATGATACCCCAGTTCCAAGCTGCCCCTGGCTCCATCCCTGCTGCGACCCCTGCCTCTCAATGCCCCCAGCCCCCATCTCCAGCACCTTGGTGCCACCATCTCCATGCCCACTGTGCCTCTAGCCCCTACAAATCCCTGTCCCCAGCCTTTATGGCGTCCCCATTCCCATCCCTGTGGTGCCCCCAGCCCCGTGCAGACCCCCACCCCTCGATGTCCCTCTCCCCACACATGGCACCCTCTCTCCACCCCTGCAGTGCCCCAGACTCTCAATGTCCCTGTCCCCAGCCCCACAGTGCCCCCAGTTCGATGCTGCTCCAGGGTGGGGGTGCAGAATGGACAGACAGCTGGACACAGGGGAAGTCCCTGCTTCTCCGTTTATTACCAAGCAGCCTTCGTTTAAAAAAAAAAAAACAAAACAAACAGACATACAGACAGGCAGAGGCGGCCCGGAGGGGTGGGGGCCGCCTGCCCATGGTTTGTTTGGTTCCTGACACCAGAGAGGTTCAAGTAGCCGAAAAGGTTCAAGTTCACCATAAGGCACTTTAAAGCCATGACAGGAGCAGAGCCCCCCTGGCCCCATCACCCCTCCCAGCACCCCATGGCAGATGTGGAGGCTGGGCAGCGCTGGTGGTTGGCAGCAGAGGGGCTGTGGGGGGGAATATATTACATCATCTTTTTAAATATAGATAAAACTCTTATTGTAGACAAATAGTGCCGGTCCCCTACACCCCCGGGGAGGCTGAGCCCTGCAGGGGGCATGTGCAAAGGACAGAGGGGTGACCGTGGGGGCCCGGTCACCCCATGGAAGGGGGATCCCACAGGGCCAGGGGATTTCGGAAGGGGGATCCCACAGGGCCAGGGGATTTCGGAAGAGGGAAAGGTCCGGGGGGGGGCCGGGGCTGCCCCGCACCCGGGTGGGCTCACCCGAATAGTGCAACCAAGAGAAAGCAGCCAGGAGTGCAGGGGCGAGGGGAGCTCGCCGGGGAGGGCTGCTCGGAGTGGGGAGGTGGGGACAAGCTATGCACAGCGCAGGGCAGTGCCCCCCCGCCACTAGGGAGAGCATGCGGGGCTCTCCCCACCTGGGGGGAGGCCTTGGTCCATGGGTGCCCCTGCCCGATCCTGGCATCCATGAGGGGTTTGGTGAGGGGACATCCATGTCCCAATCCCCCATCACCCACCTGGACATGACCAGGTGGGCCTGGGAACGGTGGGGGGTGGTAGGGGCCCCCCACCTCCTTGTGCAAATCGGCCGAGGGGAGTTTCCCCCTTTGCATAACTAGGAATGAACCGTGACGGGAAAAACAGGAACAGAAACCCCAGTGGGCACAGCACAGCTCAGCATGGAACAGCATGACACCTGCTGTTGTATCAGCCCTATGCCGTCTCCACCGGCACGGTGTCATCTGGCTGTGGCCCTTCCTCACCCTCCGGCTCCTCTTCTTCCTCCTCGGGCTGCCCTGGAGGCCAGTAGCGGGCAATGGAGAGGCGCAGCCCCTCCAGCCGCCCATTGGAGAGGTCGAGGCTAGGGGGCCCAGCAGGTGGTGGAGGTGGCTCATCACGGCGGCGGCGGCGGGTCCGCACCTCCAGGCAGTTCTGGCCCTTGAGGTGCCGCTGGAGGTGGTCGTCCTTGGCGAAGGCCTTGTGGCAGAGGTAGCACTCATAGGGCCGGGCGCCTGTGTGCAGGTGCATGTGGTTCTTCAGGTCATAGCTGTGCAGGAAGCGGGCACTGCAGTGCTGGCAGGAGTAGGGCCGCTCACCTGTGTGCTTCCGCATATGGATCTTCAGTTTGTCATTCCTGGAGTTGGGACACACAGGGAGATATTGGCACTGAGTAGACGACACGCCATCCAACCACAGCAGGGAGGGCAATGGTGCTGAAAGCCCAACAGCAGGGATGCTCTGCAGGGCACAGGGGTCTGAATGCTTGACAGGACAGGGGACTATTGTATGGCTGCATGGCTGAGATGCAGCTGGCAGGGGGGACGTTGCTGGGTACCCCAGGCTGGTCTGACAGCACTTACATAGTGTGGAAGACTCCCCTGGATCTGCACCACAACCATGTTTGGGCTGTCAGATGAGGTGTTCTGGGTGCCATCAGGTATCAGGCCTTGGTTGATCTGGCAGCACTCACAGAGTACAGAACACCCCATTGACCTGGCTTCACTAGCAGGTGTGGCAGAGGGGCACCACAACAGATGCTACTGGGTACCTTAGGTCAGTCCAGCAGCATTCATGAGGTGCAGAAGACCCCAATAACCCCACAGCACCACAACAGAACTTGCAGGGGATGCCACAGAGGATGCCATCGGGTAACCTGTATTGGTGCAGAGCACTCACAGGGTACAGGAGACCCTCTGAATCTGCACCACACTGGCAGGACTGGCAGAGGGGTGCTGTGCAGCATGCCATCAGGTACCCCAGTTTGGTCTGGCAGCACTCGGGATGCAGAAGACCCCATGAACCATGCCAGGCCTGTGTCCAGGCTCCAGTAGAACTGGCAGGGGGAGTGCCATAGGGGATGTCATTTGGTACATGTCAGGAGGGGAGAGTCCATCCAGTAGCACTCACCGTGTGAATCGGACTCCGCAGACCTGGCAGGCAAAGGGCTTCTCGCCCGTGTGTGTGCGCATGTGGCGAGGCAGTTTGCCAGCACCATGGATGACCTTGTGGCAGACAGGGCACTCCTGGGGCATCTGTGAGCGGCGCTTGCGCACCAGCTTGTCAGGGCTATCCAGCCCAGGTGCCAGCGACTCATGGTGCAGCGAGCTCAGATATGCCATCAGGTCGGGGTCGATAGCATCATCGTCAGAAGCAGCCTCCTCAGGGGACAGGGGGGGCTGGTAGGGGAAGGGGAAGGAGTGTGGGGGCAGCTCCTCCTCTTCAGGCAGCTCAAAGCTGTCATAGGGCAGGGGCAGCTCCTCAGGCAGAGGGGGTGAGGGCAGCTGGGAGGGCGGTGGGGGGCTGCCAGAGCCCTCAGCCTCAGTGGGTGGCTCCTCGGCATGGTTGTTGAGCCGGGCACCACGGGCTTGCAGGAACTTGCGGGTCTTCTTGCTGCGGCGGGGGGGGGGGCGGGGGGGGGGGGTGGGGGGGCAGGCACCTCACTCTCAGGGACGGTGGAGAAAGCCTCCAGGTAGCGGCGGGCACGTTCACAGTCGCCATCATCGGGGCCAGGTGCCTCCAGCCCACTGCCCTGCAGGATCTCCACACAGGCAGCAATGACACAGGGAATCTCCAGTAGCCGGGCAGCACGCAGCACCTCGCCCATATTGGCACTGCTTATGGTCAGCGTGGCTGTGTAAGCAAATTCCAACAGTGCACCCAGTGCCTCTGGCCCCACAAAGTCCAGCTCACAGACCTCCTGCCCTGGCCCTGGCCCTGCAAAGAGCTTCTTGAAATAGCGGCTGGAGGCAGCCAGGACAGCACGGTGGGTGCGGTACTCCAGCCCCTGCGTCTTGATGGTGACATCGCAGAGCAGCCCCAGCTGTCGTTGCTCGTTCAGGCAGCTCAGCAGCTCACTGCTGTGCTCAGGGAAGGGGATGCCAATGAGGTCATCTTCTGGGCTGGCCATTGTCCTCACCTGCAGGAAGGATAGGATGCTGCCTGACTGATAGGAGAACAATCTGGGAGAAAGCACTTGGAAGAAACATTGAAGCCGGAGCATCACTGTCATGAAGCCAGGGCACCAGGAACCTTCCATGTACATGCTGGGTGGCACTGGGGTTTCAGTGGGACACTAAACTGGGGCAGGCTTGGGGCCTGCGGTCTGCCCTCAGTTCCCTCCATGCTATGTAAAGGTTGGCGGGCACAGGCCCCCCACCACAGGCCCCCACGCTTCCTCCACTACCACTAGCACCCAGCCGCCTGCATCACCACAGCAAAGGGGGAAATCTCAGCATGGTGCCTTTGAACAGCACCAAGGTGCAGCACTTCCTGTACCAGCCCACCCACAATCCCCCCAGCCCACTGTCATGGCCAGGTGCAGCCACTGGCTCCCAGCCACCCCATCCTGGGAACGTGGGCCTCACTGGCAGGCACGGGTGGGCGGGTGAATGCTGGGAAGAGCACCTTGGGGGCCACCCCATAGAGCCCAGCTGGGCTGGGAACAGGGGCCACACTTCCTGCCATTGCAGATTAGATCAGCACCCGTGCCACCGGTTCCTGCCCCCGCTCCTGGTCGGGACTGGGCCCCCTCCCTCCTCCCGTGCCCCAGCCCGGGGCCACTCCTCGCCCAGCCAAGCCCAGCCTGCGCCAGTCAGGCCTTTCCCACGCTGCGGCTGGCAGAGCTTGGCCTCAGCCCTACACCCAGCACTGCTCACACTCCTACTGTGGTCCCCATGGTGCACCACCAGAGATTCAATGTTCCTGTGCAGCCAGCACAGGTGGGAAGGAGGAGTCCATGACCCTCACAACTTGCAGGCAGGGTGCAGGCAGTAGTAGCAGCTCCAGGGCTGCAACCCGTCCTGTGACACCATGCCCAGCTATGGCACTTGCAGCCAGCCAGGCTGCTGGGTGACACTAGCACCGCTGGGTGACAATAGGATGGGAGTTGAGCAACTGCAGCCTGGCGGAGGCAGGGGTGGGTACCACCTCTGGACTGTGGCTCTTGGTGCTGCCAGAGTTGTGCTAGGCCAAGCCAAGCCATGGTGGACAGTGGCATGTGGCACTGGCCATCGCCAAACCATGCCAGGCAACACTGAGCTATGCCAGGCCCATCCATCCCAAACCCACCATGCCGTGCCAAGCCACACTGTGCCGTCGGCAGGCGGGCGTGGGGGACGTGCCCCCTCTTGCCCATGGAGGGGCGGCGCGGCTGACAGCCCCCGGCACAGGGGCCCATCCCCAAGCCAGCCGCTCCCTGCACTTGGGTGGCTGCCAGCTGGGGCTGCCTCGGCAGGCAGCTGGGAACGGCCCCGGAGCAACCGGCTGCGGAGCCGCCCCAGCCGCTGCTAAGCAGGCCCGACCGGCATGGCAGGCGGCAACCGCCCCTGAAACTGGGAGCCAAGCAGTGCCGACCGCCTGGGATGCTGGCGCCAGCACCCATGGCCAAGCCCCCCTCCTTGGCAGAAGCCCATCCCACCACTGGTTGAAGTCCCCTCTGCCTGCTGAGGTGGGGGTGATCGGATTAGGGGTGATTAAACCATCAGTGCCCTGGGAGCCAACAGGCAGTGACAACCCCCAGTGGGATTAGGCAGGATTAGCTACAGGGGCAGGATTAAGCAGGGGGGCAAGTACCCCATGCCACAGCTTGGGCAGCTGGAGAGGGATGACAGGGATGGGGCACCTGCCAAGGGTGGCCCAGAGCCCCACAGACCCCCAGAACTGTCACAGGCAATGGTCACAGGGTAGAGTGGCACTGTGTCCTCCAACACAGCCTCCCTTCTGCCTTGATCCCCACAGCACCTCCAGCCTCACAAGACATGGAAACAGGACACTCACAAAGACTGATGGTGCCCATTTGGCACGTACCTGTGGGGGTGTCTGGGTGCAGGGCAGCAGCTGAGACCCTGTCATATCCGAGAAGGTGGCAGGGTGCTCTGAGGGATGGGCACAGGCACCAGCCTCACCATCTCACAGTGCAAATGGACATAGCCTCAGTGCTGCCAATGCCACAGAAACCGCCAGCAGAGGTCTGGTAGGGACCTCTAAGGGAGTTGGAACCCCTGTGAGCAGCCACAGGACTCGATGCAAGCAGACATAGCTGCAGGGCTGGGGCAGGGTAGGGGTGAGGTACAGGAGGTGACAGGAGGGGGATTTTCCATCGCACCAAACCGCCCGTTACGGCTCCTTTGCTGACACCCCCACCCCCCGCACATCCTCCTCACTGGAGTGAAGTCACATGCTGAGCGGGTGCTGCCGTCGAGGAGATCACTGCAGTGATAAGGAAATAGCAGAGGACGAGGTGTGAGGGGACTGGAGCCGCCCCCGGGCCCCCAGCATTCCCTGGCTGGTTCTGGACATGATGCCTGGGAGGGAGCAGGCGGTGATGCCCATGTCTTCGCCATGCCAGAGCTTTCTCAGTTACATCAATGCTGTGGCTGGGCCCATTTCGGCTGCAGCAGCTGAACTGGACTGAGGAAAGGGGGAGTTGCTCCCCACGTTGAGCTGGTTCCCATGCAGGACAGGTGGCAGCAGGAACAATGTCTGCCCGGGTCACCCTGACATCCCTCTACCAGCCCATGCTGCCTGGAACAACCGTGGCCAGGCTCCACCCACCTGCCAGCTCCCTTCATTCTAGGGGTCTAGCCACCCAGGCAGAGCCATGGACAGTGGGGTGAGGCCCCTGCAGCACCCATCCTGCATGAGGATAGGCTGTGTCCCATGCCACCAAGCTGGGATGGCACAGTGCATGAGGGCACAATGTCAGCCTGCACTGAGCACTGGGCCATGGCTTGGGGACGGTAGGAGTTGTGAGGTGGAAAGGGATGTCTAGGGGGGATCTCCCAACCTGTTCCCCCATGGGGAAGGAGGGCAGAGGTCCTGGGGAGGACAGTCCTCATCCTGGGCTGCTGCCAAGTGCTCCTGCTTTTGGTCACAAGAGTCCCTGTCAAGGGACTTCACAGCCCCACTGGGGAGAATGAGTCACCCAGGAAGGGGAGCACAGTGCAGAGTCACCCTGGCTACTCACCCCATGGGGGTCCCTCACCCTTTGGAAACCAGGACATGAACCCAGGAGTCTGGGCTGTGCAAGTCCCCCTCCCTGCTAATGCCCTGTCTGAAGCCAGCTGGGAGCAGCAGTGGCCCTTGTGCCAATGGCCACAGTGTGGAGGGTGGTGTGGCTGTAGGGCAGGGGCTGTGCAGCTGCTCTGTCTGCCCGGCAGGGAAGGTGGTGGCTGGGGTCTAGCTCAGCTGGTAACCCTATAGCAAGCACATGCCAGGGGTCCCATTGCTGGAGGAAGCGGGGAAAGCAGCACTGCTCTTTGAAAGAAGAAAAGAACGCGTTGAGACAAAAGGAAATGGTTTGGACCTGAAAGAGGATAAACAGTCCCCCACCCCACAGCACTGAGAGTGAGCCCCCTGGCTCCCTGATACTGGTCAGCTCACCCACAGAGTTCCCAGGCAGAGCTGTGTGCTGTGCAATCATGGGACATTAGCCACTGGCACTGAGAAGGGGTTGGAGTGCTGTGGACCAAGGCTGCCTCAGCGCCGAGCCAGCACTGCACCTGGGGCCCAGTGCCAGCCCAGCATGATAGCTGCCATGGAGGCTGGGCACGGGGCATCCCTGTTACGGTGGAGCAGGACTAGCGATGTTGCCAGAGCCACTCCTGGCATCCGTGTCAGGGACAAGAAGCAAAGTCCCCATGCCACCCATCCAACCTGTTCGCACTGTGCTGGCATCCTGGCTCCTCCTGTTGCCAAAACCTACCCCACTGTCACATCCAGCTGCCTGGCATTACCACTATAGGGTGTAGGCCCTGCTCTGCTAAACCAAAGTGACCCAGATCTTGCCACTCGTCCCTTCCCATCCCATCCTATCCCATCCCATCCCGTCCCATCCTGTCCCGTACCATCCTGTCCCGTCCCATCCCACCAGTAGCAAGGGTGGTGTAGGGCTCAGGCAACACGAACATCCCACAGCTTGCTGGTGCCAAAGCAGCTGGCCCAGACCTCCAAGTGCCCAGTGGTACCACACTGGGTCCCCACCACCCTAGCAACTTCCTTCACCGTACCAGCCAGTTATGGCAGGGTGGGTGTGTAGCTCACCTGCCCCGTGTCCTGGAGTGGCTCAGCGCTGCGTCGCGGCCAGGCTGGCGGCCCGCGAGTGGCAGGGAGGGGAAGGCAGGGTGCTGTGTGAACTTGGCCCCGCTCCCCGCTGCACTTGAGCTCAGGATCCCACCTCAAAAGGAGTTGACGCCCACACCCCGGGTCACGCACCTCCCAGCCCCGCTTCCCAGAACACACACACCATTAACTCTTTACGGTTGGTACTGCACCGTGGGGCGCCAACCCGGAACCACGCAGGGGCATCCCCTGGCCCAGTCCCACAAAAGAAAATTCTCAGTACAGCCAGGACAGGCACCTCACACCATAAGTATGTCTTTCCTACCACTAGCATTGTCTCCAAGCCGTCTGCCCCCACCCCCCATGCCGAGGCATCATACAGGCCCTCACCTTCTCCTCTGCCCCAAGGCAGGGCGCTGGGTGCTCGCCACTGGCCATGGCCAGCCTGGCTGAGCTGGGAGGGCGCCTGCGCTTGGTGGAAGCAGGGCAGGACTCGGTGCAGCATGCTGCAGCCTGCCCAGCCAGCCCTGGAACCACCCCCTGGTCCTATGGATTCCTGTCCTGTTCTACCCTTGGAGAGGGTTCCTCAGGTGCCATGGGGAATGTGGGAAGCAGTGACAGCCCAGCTGGACTGTGCTGCCTGATCCCCTCCACTCCCTGGGCAGGGGCACTCATGGGCTCCCTGGCCAGGCTGCAGATTCACGCAATCCCCCCATAATTACACCCTCCATGTCCCCAGCTAAACAGCAATTAGCAGCCCAGAGAGCGCGCCCCACACCCCACCACCAGTACCAGCACCCGCCCAGGCCACCCACGCCAGACCGGTCAGGGGCACCTGCACTGCAGCACCCTGACATGGCCCCAGATAGGCTCCAGACACCATGTTGGTGCCGTCTGTAGTAGGAGGCCAGGCAGAAAGGGGAAGAGCCCTATACCAGCTGGACAGCAAAGGGCCTCTGGCCCAGCCCCAGCAATGCTGACGGAAAGACCTGGGTTGTGCAAGAGCCCATAGGCAGGCACCGGAGACAGCAGGTGGGCAGAGGGGCACTGACAGTGTGCCCTCCATGGTATCCCACCTCTCCCATCACTGTGGACCATGTGCTAGGCAGGAGCCAGCTATGGGACCACAAGTCGCCCAGTGCCCAGAGTGCAGGCAGTGCACAACCAGTGGCAGCAGAACTGTGGGCAGCGTTGCCCACCACACTGACACGATGCTCGAGGCTGACCAGCTGCCCCAGTGGGGGGCATAAATGAGGGCAGAGCCCTGGACAGCATCTGTGAGTGGGAAGGAAGGAGGACGGGAGAGAAGGAGGAGGGTTGTGGCACCTGCTGCCAACCCTTCCCCTGCCCTTTGTTCCCCATAAAGAAGGGGAATGGCGCCAGTCCCCCCTGGCCCAGGTGTGCCAGGTGCTAAGGGCGGGAGATAAGGTGGGTGAGGCGGGCAGGGAGGGGCCTGGCACGGCATGGGCATGCAGCCCTGAGTCAGGGTTCCTACTGGTGGCCAGGATGGGGTGAGTCACTGTGGCCCCCCCACCCTGGGGGTGTTGCAACCACCCAGGCGCTGGCCACAAACTGCTGCTCGCCCTGGCTGGGGGGCATTGGGCTGCCTACCTGGGGGCCAGGTGGCGAGGTACTGGCCTTCGAGGAAGATGGGCTAACCTCCATCCATCCATCCATCCATCCATCCATCCATCCATCCATCCATCCATCCTCCTCCAAGCTCCACCCTTGCCTTGGCCAGTGGCACCCTGACTAGTGTCACCAGTGATGGGACATGGCCTCATCCCAGCTCCTCTTCCAATAGCAGGATGGGCAACCCCATCTCCTGCATCACCTCCTGACACAGAGCAGCACCCTGACCTGCTGGGGCATGGCGTGCCATGGCTACATGCTTGCCCAGGACAGCTTTGGGCAGAGGCATGTGGCCTCTGTGTTGGAGGGAGGGAGGGAGGCAGGAAGGCAGGAAGGCAGGCAGGGAGGCAGGCAGGGAGGCAGGAAGGCAGGCAGGAAGGCAGGCAGGCAGGAAGGCAGGAAGGCAGGAAGGCAGGAAGGCAGGAAGGCAGGAAGGCAGGAAGGCAGGAAGGCAGGAAGGCAGGAAGGCAGGAAGGAAGGAAGGAAGGAAGGAAGGAACTCCGCCAGCCACCAGCCTGGGAGGACAGACAGGCTCACCTACAATTGGGTTTGTTCACTGGCCCCAGGATGAGCTGTCTCTGCAGTTGCTGGCCCTGCAGGACAGTCACGGGAACCCCTTGGAGGGCAGCCAGACCCCCTGGGTCCTACTGTGCTGCACGGCCCCAAGGGGCCCCCCCAGCTGGTGGCACCTCCTACTCAATCTGCAGGGTTCATGTCCTCACCAGCACCTCGAGGACTGAGCATCGCCAGTGGCACAGGCTGGGGCCCAGTGCTCCATCCTGGCATCAGGGTGGTGCTGGTCCTGGTGGAGTCACCTGGCAAGGACAGTGCCAGCCCACAGCCCCCCCTCCACACCCTCCAAAATAGCCCAGCTTCCGCCCCCACAGCAGCTGCCTGCTGCCAGCTCCCCGCTGCCCACAGCTGATCCCAGTGAGGGAAGGGGGGCAGGCGATTCTAATCCCCCCCCCCCCCCCCCCGCCCCGGAGCCCACAGTGAGGCCATGCCTGCCACAATCACTCCACATAGCGCCACTGATGAGACCCCAGACAGCCCTGCACTAAGGGGAGGGCAATGGCCCCATGGCTCCACAGTGGAGCAGGCATGGGAAGCCTCTGTGGAACCCCTCTGTGGGACATGGGCTATCCCCAAGGCCCACCATGATGTCTGCACCACACCAGCTGCCTTGTGACACCCAAGCAGGACACAGGAGTCCCTTTCCTTCTCTTCCCTGGCCCTGCAGTGGGGCTGACGATCCTCCTGTCCACCCTTGCTATGGCTCCAAGCTCTGTGCCCTGACAGTTGCCCATGAGAGGGGAATCCGAGCAAAGTTGGTGGGGTGCCACTGTACCCAACAAATGTCAGCCAACACAGCCACACTCTCCACCCTGCTGGTGTTCAGTGTAGGCAGTGCCTGGCACCCATCCTGCCCGGGAGCCAGTGCCTTGTGGCAGGACCCCCTCACCCCCTACCCACTCCAGCTGCAGCCTATGGGGCCTGGGGACATGACAGAGACAGCTGGGCAGAGTGGAGCACGCAGTGCAGCCAAGGCTGCCAGGAGAGGCCAGAGCTCGCCTGACCTACTTCTCTTTCCGCATCACCTGCTTTCATTTTCCCTCACCCTGGCTGGTCCCCCTGCCTGCCCATGGCTCCATCAAGTCATGCCACCAACTCTGGGGTACAAGCCACCCAGGCACCACAGCTCCCACTGCATCATCCTGCATGTCAATTGACCTCCCCAGCCCTGGGCACAGCCGGGTGCACTGAAGGTCACTGGCCACAGCCTTGGCACCCCCACCCCCCCGCCTGCATGGCTACCCAAGAACCATCTTCCTGGCACGGAGCGAGTTTGACGGGTCTCAGCTCAGCCCAGCCCCTCACCTGGTCCTCTGACCGCCCTGGGGCTTGCTGGGGTGTGGACATGCAGCTCTCAGGGCATGTCAGGGACGCCAGTGTTGCCACGGGGAGTCAGGCGGGCGCCAATCCTCCAGACGGGGCGGCCGCTCCCACCGGCACCCTGCCGGCTCCCGCCGTGGAGTTACCATGGGAAGGCAGTGGTGGTGGCGCAGGGGGAGCGCAGGCTCCCAGGGGCTCCCGCCAGCAGCCCACACGCTGCCAGGAGAGATTTCTTCCTGGTTTCATCATCCGCTGCCTGCCCTGAAGGAGAAGTTCTGCTCCACGCATGGGGCAGCAGCCACCCTCCGAGGGCTGGGGTGCAGCAGGGGCTGCGCTGGTCCCGCACGCCCTGCTGTGCCCACTCTCCGCCCCCATGTGCTCAGGCCTGTCGCGCTCGTGCCACGTGTGCACTGAGGGTGCACGGCACCAGCTGGCAGAGCCGTGCTGCCACAGCCTCGGGCTCAGCACCGCAGCGCTGAGGGCAGCCTGCGCCCAGGCAGGGGGTCTTGGACGGTATCCACGACCCAACGCTGATATGCCACACACACACACCCACACCCACACCCACACACACCTGTCACCTCCCTATGCTCACCTCTGCACCCGCCCCCGGCATGGGGACTCCCAGCCCTGCTGCCCCACACTCTCCGCTATGCCAGAGTTTGCCCTTCTCCATTGCGCCCACTTTAAGTCACCGAGCTCAGTCCCTCCCTCCGCACCCAGCACCAGCATCACCACTGAAGCCTTGAGTCGCTGCAGTTGCGGTGTGCCTCCGGTAGTGCCGGTTGGATCCAATCCTGCTCCCCATTCCTACTAGCCCAGGTGTGGTGGGGGAAAGCGAGGTACGGTGCGACTCACCCCAAGACAAAACTGGCACTGTGTCCCCTCGCCAAGCGAACGCAGCCACGGATCGAGGGCGGCTGTGGCCCAAGAAGTGGATCTGCTCCGGCAGGAGGGTAAATACCGCACCCCGCCCCGGGCAAACAGCGGCCGGGGGCAGCCAGCCAGGGGGACGAGGACAGGTACGGCAGGGCTGGGCGCACAGGGCAGAGTCCACCGGTGCTTGGCAGGTGCTACCACGACACCGATCCCAGTGGGGACCACTGCACAGCCAAGCAGTGAAGCACCCACTGCTGCTGCCAGTGTGCCAGGTCCGGGGCTCACCAGCGTGGCAGAGCCTTCTGGGACACTGGGATACCCTCCAACTCTACCAATACTGGTGCAGAAGGGGTTCCCTGAGTTGCCTTCTTCCCCTAACGGTGCCGTCCCTACCCGGTGCACCAGGCATGCCGCCAAGCTGCTCACCAGGTTAGGAAGGGGGGGGTGGCAGCACCTAGTCACCCGTGAGAGAGAGACCTGCGGGGACCCCGGCTGGATGGAGCAGCACCGCAACAGGACCACAGCGGAACCTTGGCAGCCGCCCCGGCACGCAACGGGGACCTACCGATGTCACAGATTTCCCGCAGCCCCGTGCGCGCAGGGACCAGGAACAGCCCACGAGTGACACCCCCCGCCCCACGGGCGACGTACCCACCGGCTCCGGTGGCGGGCGGGGACAGAGGTGCTGTGCAGTGATCTGCGTGCCAACCCTATCCACCCGCTGCCCGCAGCATCCCAAATCAACGCGACTCACCGCAACCGGGCGGCAAAAGCGGTTGCCACACCGGTCCACGTCCCGATCCCGCTGCTGGTGGGTCGGTACCTCCGCTCAACCCCCGCCGATGGGTCTGTCCGCTCCCACCCACCGCCGCTCACCTGCGCGCCCCGCCCGAGCCACAGACCGGTCCCGGAGCCACAGCCCCGCCTCCGCCTTCACCTGCCGCCGCCGTGCCCCGCCCGCCCCCCGGCCACTGCCACTGCCGCCGCCGCCGCCGCCGCCGCCGGGGCTCCAGGAAGCGCCCGCCCCCGCCTGTTCATTGGGCAGTGCGCCGGCGGTCCGCGTCTGATTGGTGGGATGCCCCGCCCATCATCTCCGCCACACCCCCCCTCGGGAGGGCGGGGGTCTTGCGGGCCCCTGTGACCGGGGTGCGCGGGTGGGGGGCAGCTGAGTCAGAGGCGGGTAACGGGATTGGGCGGGGGTCGGCCCCCGGCCTGGGGAGGAGAGCACGAGACGGCCCCGGTGCGGCCCCACGGGCGCCGAGTGCGGTGCCAGGCGCCGAGCGCGCCCCGCCCGCTGCGGCCGCCGAGTGCCGGGGCCGGCACGGCACTGCCCGCTCCGCCCCGCGGACACGGGGGGCGGGGAAGCGGGCATGGGGGGAATAAGAATCGAGAAGTGTGCACCGAGGGAGAGTTTCGAGTGCCAGGCACGGGAAACCGTGCATAGGGTGAGGTAGGGGGATGGAGAGCCGGGGCCGAGAAGCGGGCACCGGGGTACTGGAGTGCCGGGCACGGGAGGATGGAGAGCTGGACACGGAGAACGTGGCACGGCGAGGTGCCGGGCGCCGGGCAGGCGAGGGCGCGGAGGGGCGAGGCGCGGGGAGCAGTCCCCTGTTCTCGGCGGCGCTGGAGCGGGGTGCGGCGGCCCCCAGCGGGGTAGCTCCTTCGCAGGTGCCTGGGCGCGGGCCCCGCACAACCTGTTTGGCCACTGCCGGCTCAGGGAGGCAGCGACGGCCCCGGGGCTCACCTCGGCTCACCCCGGCCCCCCCGCGCCTGGCTCAGAGCGCGGCCACTGCCCGGCGCTAGCGGAAAGTGTGAGAAGCCACCGCCGTTCCGGGCTGCCAAGGCAAACACGGCCCCGAGCAGACGTTATGTCAGTGGGTGGGGGGGCCGCGCCGGGGACGAGAACAGGACCCCCACCCCTTCGCCAGGTCCTGGTACGGGGCACCTGCCACCGCACCTCTCCCAGCCGCCCGCTTCGCTCACCCCAGCTCCCTCCCTCTGACCGTACACCTGCATCCCCGTCGAGGGTACCGGCCTGGCCCGCCAGGCTCCGGGCTTCCGCGGAGCGAAGGGGGGAATCCGCAGAACGACCGCAGCGGACCCTCCGCGCCGCTGCCACCGACCCCCGACTCCATCGCTCCCCGCCCGTCCCCTCGGGCCACGGTTCGACATAGCCGCTGCGCTCTGCCACTGCCTGTGGCTGTGCTCCCGGCGTCTCTGTCTCCCTGCTTGCCCCGAGGCGACGCCGACGGTGCGGTCGCGCTCACCTCTCGCGGCGGGGCCAAGACCGGGGCCGGGCGGGGGCCGCGGGCTCAGCCGGGCCGGCGGCGTGGCAGGAAGGACCGGGTGGTCATCGCGGCCCGCGGCAGCTGCCTGCAGAGGGCACTGCTGGCTCCCGGAGCCGAGTCCCGTGGGCGGCACCCATACGTGTAGGGACACGGGGATCTCTAGGTGCCGGTGGCACCGTTTATTTGGGTTAAAAACAGCAGACACGACTCGGGCAATCCGGGGTCCCCTCCGCCGCACTTACTCGGGGCTCCCCCATGCTGCGAAAACGGTTGAAGGACCCGGACCCCTCGGGCCTGGTACCCAGCTTGGGTAACGCCGAACCGGCCCCCACCCCAGGGGTGCTCACCTACCTCGACCCCCATTCCACCTGCCCAACACCCATCCAGATGTTCTAACCTGCCCGACACTCCAGCTGTGCTCACCTGTCCCACGCCCCCCAGTCGTGCCAGTTCCCTCCCATTCCCCTTGTCTGCAGTGACATTTAGGCCCACAGCTCCCCTCTCCTCCCCACTCCCTCCCTCCTCCCTTCTCTTCTGCTTTCCCTGTCCCCACCAGCAATGGCTGCCACGCCCCAGCCTGGCCCTGACAATGGGGACTCCTGCCTCATGCTTTGGTTTTTTTACAAAAATAGATAAATTATTATAAACTTGAACATTAAAATTATAACATATACTAAACAGGGCCCTGTGTCACTGAGAGCCCCGTGGCTGAAAGTGATGAGTGATGAGTGCCCAAGGGGGGCACTGCATCCAGTCAACACTCAGGCAGGGAGTCCCCATAGCAAGGACGATCCTGCTGCAACACAGCCCTGGAAGACACAGGCTGGGGAAAAGTGGAAGGGTCCCCAGCTTGTGAACCTGCTTTGGGGGAGCTCCCTGTCACCCCCCACCAGCTCCAGCCTCAGTGTGGCTGGTTCAGCAGAACCTCAAGCCAGCATGGGCAGGAGGTGATGAACTGCCGGGAGTAGCAGGGTCCCCAGCCCTTGGTAAAGCTGATGCGGATACTGTGGGGGTCACAGGGTCCCTCCCCAGGTAGCTGCCAGCCTGCTCTGTCCCCTGCCCAATCAAACACCTTTGCTGAGTAGCCAGGCAGCACCTTAAGGACAGTGAGCCCACAGGGACCAGGGGGGCTCAGGGTGGGTGAACTGACGAAGATGGGGTGCTCGCTGCGGTTGTATGCCCAGATGCCACCTGGCTCCCGACTCAGCAGCAGCCCCCGGCCAATCTTGCCACGTGCCCGCCGGACAGCACAGCTGCGGTAGGCAGCTGGCAACTGGGCCAGGCAGAACCCGCTGCCCCATGGCAGCTCGAAGAAGACATTCACTGATGCCTCATGCACGGCGTAGAGGCGACCCACGCGTGTCCGGTACTCCCAGTAAGCCAGCTTGCACCAACAGCCATCCTTGACGGTGCTCCATGAGAGGCTGGTGTCTGGCAGGGGAGAGCAGAGCTGTCACCACCAGGACATGACTGAACCAAGCAGCTGGATGGGCCAAGGGAAGTGGGCACAGAGGCATGGCACACCAGGGATGCCTCAACACAGGGTCCTGCACTAGGTGTGAGTCTCTGGAGCTGTTCCCAGTCCCCAAGTACCATGGTGAAGGAAGGGGTGGGGGAAGGCTGTGAGAGGGTGTTGTAGAGTTAAAATATATATATATTAATTTTGATAATAATATGATACCAGTATCATAAAGTCACCCTAGGACAGAGGGGTTGGTCCATGAGTGCAGGGGAAGGTGAGGCAGTGGCAGCTGGTGGCCTTGGTGGCCAGCAGACAGGCAGGAGTGGGAGCTGCGTGCGTCAAGGCACATTGTGTGTGCCCCCATAGGCAGTGCTTCCTCCAGCAGGGAGCCTGCTGCTGCCAAAAATAACAGTAGCTTCAGTGTCGGGCGGGGGTGGGGTGGGGGTGGTTGTCTGGGCCCAGGCTGCTCCCCCCGCAGGAACTCCTCATCCTGTGTCAAAGTCTTTTCCTCCTGCTGGGAGTAACTGCTGGCTCCATTCCCTGATTTTCATGTTCTCGCCCCTCCAATCTTTGCCTCTGACTCAGGGGTTCAGCCCTACCAAGTGCCCTCCTGCCTGCTGGGTGTGTCAGAGGGCTGTGGAGTGCGGTGGGCCCGTCTTACCGCACCAGTCCCCAGCATCGTAGCTGAACTCCAGGAGCTGAGTACTGGGGTGTTGGGGCTCATCTGGCCAGGAGGGACCACAGGATGCCTTCAAGTAGGGGGGTGGCGGGATTTCTGCAGGGGAGAGAGAAGGAAATGAGAGCCTGGGAGTACATCCTGCCCCCCTGGAGCCAACTGGAGCCTTGAGCCAGCCCCAGAGAGCAGGGGTCAGAGCCTGGGTGGGCAAGGCAGCCTCCAGTGTTGCCACCAGCACTCACCAGATTCAGCCAGGCGACTGAAATGATGGGGGTTGCAGCACAGCACAGCCAAGTCCCCACAGACCCCCTGGCCCCCAGCACAGTAGCAGAGGTGCTTGAGCTCATGAGATTGGTGGAGGTCAGGCCAGCGGAAGAGGCGACAGAGCAGGACTTGAGGGGGGACTCCCTGCTTGACCCCTCGTGCGTCTCCCCATGGTGCTAAAATGCAGCCAGAATCCCAGGCACCCTGGCTTTCCACCACCTGCACCAACAGCTCCAGCTCCTCATCCTTCAGCTTCTTGAAGAGGGCATGCACTGCTGGTTTGAGGGTACTGGGGGCATCCTCAGGGCTGGCTGCTGCACAGCGCTGCCGCCACAGCCTCCGCACCAGTCCAGCACGGCGTGAACGGAACATGGGGTGGTCGTGGGGACCACCTGCAGGATGGAAACAGGCATCATCCCCCATGCCCTGAGAGGGCTGTGGCTACAGGGGCTCCCAATGGGGACCCTGCTGCATCCTCCTGTGTCCTCCCAGATCCCTGGCAAGGCTGCTTTGCCTGGGTTTGCTGCTGCCATCCCCATTATGAGGGCATGGTGCCGCTTCAAGGGTTACTGGCATCCCCAAGATCACATCAAACATGATCCCAAAAACAACCCCCACTGCTGGGGAACCTGCCTGTGCTGAGACAGTGAGGGCAGGGGTCCATATGCTCCTGCCCACAGCACCTGCCCACTCCCCTCTCATCCCCCTATCAGGGGGCTGGGCAAGGGCTCCCTGCAGAAGGGGGTCTCACTCACTGTGGGTGGTGGAGGTGGGTGAGAGGCTCCAGGGCACTGCATGGGGCTGTGCTCTCAGGGCGGCCGGCGCTGCTCTGCCTGCCACGCGTCACTGCCTGGACTTTTTCCTGTGCTGGGACACTCTCCCCTCCCCCAGACCTTCCCATTTGAGGAATTAATTGATTTCCCTCATCCCAGCCAGCCCTGGGGCTGAGCCACCACCAGGGCCACCACATCAGGGCTACCACAGCAGGATGTGGCAGGCACCAATGCATGGGCTTCAGTGGTCAGGGATGCCCAGCACCACTCTACCAAGGCAGCCAAGCACAGCCAGGAGCCCAAACAGCACCACAGACACCAGTGCACAACCACATGGCAGGGTCCAGCTGAGTAGCCGATCTGGGCAGGGGGAAGACATGAGGCACAGTGGCAGGGCACCATTGTGGCAGACCCCATCCCTACTCGTGTCCACAAGGGGACTATTGCAAGGACCACCTAAACCTCTCATGGCATCTTGGGCAGAGGTTCCCGCTGCCCCTCAGTTCTTGACCCGGCCAGGCGTCTCCCTGCAGACAGTGGGTGAGGGTGGGAGCCTGCTCCACAACAAAGGAGCTAATGTAAATGGGACCCTTATCCCACGCCAGGCCAGGCTTCCTGCTCCTGACTTCCCGCCGAGATAAGGGAGGCCACACTGGCGCCAGTGCTGCTGCCGAGGACGTGCAGAGCTTCCCCTGTGCTGAGGTCAGGCACCAGCACAGGCAGCACTGGGGCAGGGTGGGCTCACAGACCCACAGCCATCCCCAAAACCACACTCTGGTGCCAACAGCCATGGTCTTTGCCACAGTTCCTAGCCAGGCTGGGCCCATTGGAGGTATTTTGCTCTAGCCGCTTCCCACAGACTGAAACAGGAAATGTCCAGAAGTGGGGGGGCAGGGCAGGCAGGAGATGCAGGCAGAACACCAGCTCCCCACACTTTCCCCTTAGCCCTGGGAGACATGGGGACCCTCAGTCTTGGACAGGGGCAAGGGGTGTGCTGGAGTGCCTTAGTGCTACCTAGGGCTAGGACTGGAAGGTTTGGGGACACACACAAACACACTCCCAGAGCTTTGGCGAAACAGATGCAGCCAGTCAGGCACTGCTCAGGTTTACTAGGGTCTCTGATCAGGCAGAACACAAGCTGGAGCAGAGTCTCAGTGCCAGAGGTCCATCAACTCCATCAGCATAGGGTAACAAGCACAGTCCTGGGGACAGGAGAGAGGCACAGGGGGTAAGGACCCACTGAGCAGTACCAAGGTCACACCCTCTCAACCCCCCAGACACAGCCAGGCTCTCTGTCTCCCCTCAAACACCATGGCCAGGCCCTTTTCACTCCAGGAGCACCATGGTTGGGCTCCATCACCCCCAAACACCACAGCCAGGCCCCTGTGATGTTCCAAGCACCATGTCAAGTCAAGCTGCAGGCAGGTCACTCACCCACAGCACCAGGACAGGCAGGGGCTGGTGTGGTCCTGTGACACCGCAGAGGCCCTTCCCTAGTCCAGCAGCTCACGGATGCACCAGCTGCAGAGAAGGAGGTAGATGCATTCCTGCAGAAGCCGCAGCAACCACGAGCCCAGGCACAGCCCCAGGGAGGTGGCAGTGGGTGATGACAGTGCCAGTGCCTGTACCAATGCCACTTGCTGAGGAGCACCTTGCAGACAGGCTGCCATGGTCCAGAAGAGGTGCATGGCCTATGAGGAATCAGCAGGCTCTGACATGGTGGGAGAGGCTGCAGTGCCGACATGCAGGGCCCTGGCTAGGGGCCCTGGCAAGCACTGGAACCTGCCACATTCGCCGCATTTCTAAAGCTTCCACAATGGTACATGCAGGGAGGGGGCACAACCTGGGGACCCTTTTGTTCCTCCCACTCCTGCCCCATGGAGCCCTCAGGGCTCAACAAGGCCACATGCCAGTGCAGTCTAGACTGCAGCGGTTTTATTTAGTGCTGACAGGCAGCAACTTTATTCAATGTCACTCCCAGAAGCATTCCAGTGGAGCCTCCCAGAGTGCAGCTTTCACTGGCGGGAGGTGCGCTCTTCTTCCTCATTTTCCAGCTCATAGGCAGGCCGGTAGCTCTCCCGGCCCTGAGCATCAGTATAGCGTAGTGCTGGGTTCTTCCGTGTGTTGGCCATGCTCCCCAGGGACGTGTAGCTGCAGAGGGAAGAAGCAGCTGCAAAACTGCACCCAGCGGCACTGGCTGTGCATGTGAGAAGGGCAGCACAGGGCACTCACCCCTTGTCATAGAGGATACAGTAGGGGACAAAGAGCTTGCGCAGGAACTCCCAGATGTCCCGGTAGGTCCAGTCCTGCAGGCAGAATTGGGCACGGATTGAGGCAGAGGCAAAAGGCTGCTCCCCTGCCTTCCAGGGAAGCAAGCCAGACTTTCCTGGGAGAACCAGATGGTCATCAGAGCACCACTGTCCCCCCCAGCACTTCCCCAAACACAGGGAAACCACCCAGCAGGCAAGAATGAACCCTGCCCAACAGCTCCCAGCTGCAGCAAGGGGCACCCATGGCTGCACAGCAGGGCAGCACATACTCTGTGAAAGCGAGTGAGAGAAGCTGTCTAGGATGGGAGTGGATTACTGCTGGTCCCCAGCCCCATCAGATCCCCCTACCAGGCCCTGTGGCAACAGTCCCAGCCCCAAAGCAGGTGGAGGCCTGGCCCATACCAGCAAGGGGTTCACCCGCATGTAAGGGGGCCAGTCAGGGTCTGTCACACACATGGGGGTCAGGGTGCGTGAGTAAGGGTCCGTCCGCCGTGTTCCCATCAGGACAGCCTCCAGCTGTGGCTGCTGCTCCTTCAAGTGGGCCAGCGCCTCCCGGATGGAGCCCTCCACAGTGCAGAGCTGAACCCCATACCTGTGCAGGCAGGATGGGCAGTTGTCTGTGGGCTGCAAGCAACGCTGCACACCCTCTGCACAGCAGCCCACTCCACTCTGCCTCCTACCTCTGGACTGTTGCCTGAATGAACTGCTCCATTTCAGGAAATGGGGACACAGTGCGAATGTAGAGCACCTGCAGCCTCTCCTGCCTTGCTGGGAACTGCCTGCAGAGAGACCCGGTGCAGCTGGACTCTGACCAATGGCAACTGCAGCATCCAGTACCCACCAGCTAGATCCCAGGAATCCACTTATTCCCCCAGGGCAGAGCAAGCAAGAGCCCCAGAGCCCTGGCCAGAGTCTGCAGGACCCCTCAGCCTTGCCCCAGCCTGGAGCCCCATGTGTGAGTACCTCTGCACAGCAGCATGGACAAGGTGCAGCAGGGCTGTGCAGTCCTTGCCCCCGTTGAAGCCCACGCAGAGCTGGACCAGGCTGTACCGGTCCAAAGCCTCCTCGATGGTTCGCAGAGCTGCTGCCACCTTCTGCCCCAGGGCTGAGCCTGCCAGGACAGGAGAGTTGGTGCCTGCCCAGCTCATGTTCCATCAGCATGGCGCCAGGGCCTATGGCACTTCACCCTCTGGATACATCTCATATCCAGACTCGTAGCAGAGCCGTGGCCGGCACCATAGCCAAGAGCTTGTTCAACCCAGAGATCTGGGCCACAACGTGACAGGGATCATGAAGGCAGTGGGGAACTGTGGCACTGATGCTTCTGCTGCACACTGCGCTCTCAGACCCTGCCACCACCAGCCCTAACTGAGGTTACAGGTTCCATTCCCACCTGTGTGGGATGAAGCCCACTGCAGCTGCAGCACCCCTCAAGACTCCCAGCACACCACAACAGGCAAGCTCTGCTCCCAGGCTGGTGTTCCCACTGCCCCAGCCTTGCTAGGCTATACAGGAGAAGCATGGAGGCACAGAGCTGCAGCACCTCTTCCTGGTACCTGACTCAGCCAGGCCATAAACCTCCACAGCTGCTGGAGAGACACAGTCTGTCACCAATGGTACAGCAATGCCTGGTGGCAGCTCCCTCATCAAGAAGCAGTACGCTTCCTCCAGGTCCTGCTCCGACTCTGAATCCAGGGTCAGCTTCACACGGTAGTAGTTGCTGGTCCAGTCTGGGTAGGAGCCCAAGCTGACACGGCCCCGGAAGGTGGCATCAGCCCAGTCCAGCACAGGCGTGATAAACATCTCATCGGACGCCACATAGATGGTGCGGGAGTGGAAGTGGATCTGTTTGCTTTGAAAGAGGTGAGCAAGGCCATCTAGGGCACGCTCCATCAGTGCCGGGATGCCAGGGAAGATGTAGACATTACGCACACTGACTAGTGGGTACTTGAAGGTGTTGCCAGTGTGCTGGTCTGTGCCATAGTTGAGGCAGGAGGACTCGGGGACACGAGCCAGCTTCATCTCAGGGCACTGCACCTCCGTCTTGCCAAAGAACTTGTGCACCAGGGCCACCAGCTCGGGATGGAGGATAACGCTCTCCCCAAAGGCCTTAGCCACAGCCTCGAAGGTCACATCATCGTGCGTGGGGCCGATGCCCCCGGAAGTCAGCACGAAGGTGAAGCGGGCAGCAAAGGCAGCCACCTCACTGGCGATGGCCTCCACATCATCGGGCACCACCGAGATCCGGGCGACACTCACGCCAAGAGCACGAAGTCGCCGGCACATGAAGAAGGAGTTTGTATCCTGCGTGTAGCCCTGAGGGGAACGGAGACGCCCATGACGGGGTGCCCCGACCCCAGGCGCAGGCCTCAGCCCGCCCCACCCCCGCCACCCAGGCCCATCCCCGGCCGCACCTTGAGAATCTCGTCGCCGATGATGATGATGCCGGCGGTGTTGGCGGATCCCCGGGCCTCTGCCGCCGGGCCCGAAGCAGCCATGGGGCGACAGGGGGCAGCGGGCCAGCCCGCTCGCCCCGTAGCCCGCAGCGCAGCCCGCAGCACCCCCAACATGGAGCCGCCCGCCCACCCCCGCACACCGCGACACCACCCCGCACGCTCACAGGCCGGTCCACACGTCCGTCACGCGACCTCGCCAGCACCCATTGGCCGAGAGGCGGGACCTGTGGGGATAGAACCATCGCGGAGGGAAGGAGGGTGTCGGAGCAGCTTCACGTCCATGACCGTGCCCGGCAGGCCGGAGCACGTGCGACCCCCTCTCCGGTGGGCACCGGGAGGCCGCCCCCGACCCCAGGAAGCCCTCCTTGGGAACAGGATAGGCTCCGCGGTACCGGGACCACTTCGCCCTCCACCCC